CAGGAGAGCTATAATGAGCACATGTGGCAACAACGCAAAGCATAAGCTCACACAGCAAGTTGTACATCTGTAGCTTTAGTGGTTCTGGAGATGCAGGTTTCTGAATAGTAAAAAAAAATCGTCACAAAAAACAAGATGGCTGCCACATCATGTGACCTATGACCTTTATATTATAATAAGCTCTGCAGAGCACAGGGCTGTACCACTGTGCAAAGTTTCATGAGTTTTTGACCTACAGAGCACTTGTTACAGTCATTTGAAAAAAGCGGCGGGATAATAATAATAAAAATAATAATAATAATCAGCACAATAACAACAGGTGTCCTTGCAACTGCGTTGCTTGGCCACCTAATAATAATAATAATAATAATCAGCACAATAAAAAGAGGTGTCCTTGCAACTGCATTGCTTGGCCACCTAATAATAATAATAATCTGAACAGATACAATAGGTGTCCTTGCAACTTCATTGCTTGGCCACCTAATAATAATAATAAATATAGCTGCAACCAGTAGCCAAGCAGTAGAGCCGGTCATAGCACATGAGAAGATATTGTAGTTAGAAAGATTGAAAAAGGCCATGATTTTATGAATTATAAAAAATAAATCACAGCATTTTGATTTTGGGATCGGGCCTATTTCTACAACAGTGGCAGAAGAGTTCACCCTGGACATATGTGCAAAGTTTGGAGTTATTCTGATAAATGGTTTCAGAGTTTAAGTTGTTGACAGAATATCGCACAATCCAAAATGGCCGCCAAACCATGTGACCAATAGAGCTATAAGAAACACCATATGGCAACAGAGCAAAGCATAAGCTCACACAGCAAGTTGTACATCTGTAGCTTTAGCGGTTCTGGAGATGCAGTTTTCTGAATATTTGCAAAAAATTTCACAATAACCAAGATGACTGCCACATCATGTTACCTACCTTTATAATGCAATGAGCTCTGCAGAGCACAGGGCTCTACCATTGTGCAAAGTTTCATGAGTTTTTGACTAACAGAGCACTTGTTAAAGACATTTGGCGGAATAATAAAATAATAATAATAATCTGAACAGATACAATAGGTGTCCTTGCAACTTCGTTGCTTGGCCACATAATAATCTTACCAATAACAATAGGTGTCTAGCAACTTCGTTGCTTGGCCACCTAATAATAATAATCTTAACAGATACAATAGGTGCCCTTGCAACATCTTTGCTTGGCCACCTAATAATAATAATCTGAACAGATACAATAAGTTTGCTTGGCCACCTAATAATAATAATAATAATAATAATCTTTCCAATAACAATAGGTGTCCTTGCAACTTCGTTGCTTGGCCACCTAAATATAGCTGCAAGCAGCAATAAAGGTAGCCAAGCAGTAGAGCCGATTAAAGCGCATGAGAAGATGATGTAGTTAGCGAGAGAAATAGCAGGACATGATTTCATGAATACTCTTTCTACAAGTGCCTCACCACTGTGCTGCCCTGTGTTGCTCCCGGGATTAGAGAAGCCCATCTCACCCTCAGTCACAGCACTTTCCACCCACCTACCCTCAGTAAAAACTCCTCCCACCTATCTTAACAGTCACACTACCTCCCTCACACACATCTCACCCTTTGTTCAGTGTGCATCACCTTCCCACCCACCTAATGCCTGCTTACAGCACATCCCTCCCTATCCATCTTACCCAACCCACTCACAGTGCATCTCTCCATGGTTACCTCACTCACTGCATTGTTCCTGCCACCCACCTATTTCACTTTCAATCAACATTCCTCCCACCAACCTCATCTTAATGCATAACCAGGACAGGAAGTGTCGGATACTGCGGCCGGCGGACATCTTACACCGGCGCCCGCAACTTCCCCACAAGGTCACCGCTGCCTCCCCTCTGCGCTCTGCCGCCCCGAGGCTGGGCCTCGGTGGCCTTGTGGGAAATCCGGGCCTGAGGACAGGACTGGCCATCGGGCATACCGGGCACTTTGCTGGTGGGCCGGGCCGAACACAATCAGCCTAATGTTTGGCCCGTCCCGGCCCGCTATGCCCTAAGCTGCCAGCCGCCTAAGGGGGCGGGGAGCTGGTCCTGTGGATGAGCTGACAGGAGGGATCGCAGCTGCGGGGACATCAGCACAGACACTGCACTGCCACGATCCTCTCTGCAGCTCATCAGGAGGAGAAAAGCCAATGTTCTATCGAAAGTTTCAACTCCTGAGATCTCCAACGACCTGACTTAGTTAGAAGTAAGAGGTTTGGCTGAGAAGGCTGTACTGCATGCGTGCCACCTGCGACATTTCCCTATACACATAATACAGAGCAATACAGTATTAAAATGAACTAGGGTCAGACTAATCCAGCACGTTATTAATCTGAGTTGCCCCATCAATATGGCCGCCGCTTGCGCCCATATTGAGTGGGGCAACACACATTAATAACGTGCTGGATTAGTCTGGCCCTAGTTCATTTTAATACTGTATTGCTCTGTATTATGTGTATAGGGAAATGTCGCAGGTGGCACGCATGCAGTACAGCCTTCTCAGCCAAACCTCTTACTTCTAAGTCAGGTAGTTGGAGATCTCAAGAAATTGGAGTATTTGACTGAACACCGGCTGCCTTTCTGAAAGCCAGCTGAATAGTTGGGCTCCTCGGTGGCCACCTGCAGCTTCCTCCACCCACTTCAGCTGCCATAGGCTGGGAGGAAGACTGCAGGGCTACCATTGGCAGAGAAAGAGCGGGTCCTGAAGTGCAGGGCATTGTGCTGGACTGGAGGCTTCACCTGAGACCAGAAACCCCTCCCCCACCGCTGGCCTCAGAACTGTAAGTCACACCGCTGACCTTTGCACTATAGATCACAACACTGACCTCTGCGTCACACCCTGACTTCTGCATCACACTGTAGACCTCTGCACTCTGCATCACACCATTGACCACTGCACTCTGCGTCACACCTCTGACCTCTTTACTGTAAGTCACACTGCTGACCTCTGCATCACACCGCTGACCTCTGCACTGTGCATCACAACGCTGATTTCTGCACTGTGCATCACACTACTGACCTCTGCGTTGCACCACTGACTTCTGTACTCTGCATTACACCTCTGACCTCTGCGTTACAAGTGACCTCTGGACCTCAGCAATTTAATTTTTCAAATTGATTCGGCAGTGTTAGGTCCCGCGCAGCAGCCGTCTAGGGAACCATGCGGCGCCTTCTTACAGGGCTTCTGCCGGCTGCCCATCTTCCCCTCCTGAGACCCTTTGCCCGAGACTTCCCCCTGGTAGCCCGGAGCAGAGCAGCAGCACATAGTATGTACCAAATTCATATACTATTATTCTGTATTGCTGTATAATGTATTGCTGGGATTTTTATTCCTCTATAGCTAATGGTATTCTGCATTAGAGTGTAAGCACCTCTGTACAGAGACTGATGTAACTGGCTCAGTGTTCTCTGTACAGCACTGTGGTATATGTCAGGGCTATATAAATGTATAATAATAGTGTGTGACTGTGGGGGGACATTAGAGTGTTAGCTACTTTAGTGCAGAGAATGGCTAGGGGGTTTGGGGGGCAGTGTGATCCAATTCTCTTCAGCAATATGTCTGTGAAAGTTCTCATTCGTCCAGGTCATGGTATATCTGTAGAAAATAGGTCAAGGCAACTGGACTTGCTGTATTTTTCTTGAAGACGTTTCACTGGCCATCCAACCAGCTTTCTCAATTCAGAAATTTCTGAATCCAAAAAGCTGGTTGGATGACCAGTGAAACGTCTTCAAGAAAAATACAGCAAGTCCAGTTGCCTTAACTTATTTTTTACAGATATTCTCTATAGCAAGCTTCCTATCTTGTTGCAAGGTTTGTGTATTGGCTGTAGCAAGGCTTGTGTGTCAGCTGTAGCCCTCCTGTACTTACTAGTGGCTGGCCCTGCCCCTCGATTGCGCTTCTGTGTTTGGCTCCGCCCCTGTTGTGAGGGGTGGGGCCTGTCTGTGGTCACGAGATTGGGCTGTTCAGTCTAAAATGCCCAGGCCTATTTTTTGTCCCAGCCCTGTGCATAACACCTCCCTAGCAACCATTTTACCCTCCATAGTCACCTTACCCCCCTCTGCTCACAGGGTATACCTACTGCATTCAAACATTAACTCCCACTTACAGTAACTCACTCCCTGCATTCAGCATGAAACCTCTACTATCAGTACAACATTAACTCTCCATTTGCAGTCCCTGCTCTGCCATCATAGCCACCTCCTCCAATGCAAACAGATTCCTAGGTTTCCCCTTTGCTGCCTCTGTCCCCTGCCACCTGCATAATACTCTCCACGTTCACCATGAGTGCCACCCACAAAACTACCTTTTCTGGATTGGACACACTTTTATTCCAAAATGGAAGACTGAGGGGAAAAGAGGAACATCCAGTGTACAGTGCATTGTATACTCTTGGCATCCTACAGATGGAGAGATTATAGCAGAGTGCTGGTATAAAGCAACTCCAGCACGCATCTGCAGGTGTTGCATCATCACTAGCTGCCAGATAGCTAAGGAAAGAAGACATCAAATATGGAAGAAGTGCTGGTGAAAATAGCAGCAACTGTAATAATAAGAGTACAGAGAGTGTTAGAGGAGAGCAACTCATATGTATGGTTTTTACAACGTGCAAGTATGTCAGGCATACTTGCATACAATGGCAAGTACAGAGGCACCAGCCAGATCATTCCCTCTTTATTGTGCATGGAAGCAGTAATAAGCTGAAACAGAAAAAAATGGTTTCATGGTTGTGTTTAGCTCATACGCATCTCTGCTCAGATTGGTCTATTTGAAGTTCTACTCTGTAGTAGTAATACTTTTTATATGTAGAAAGACTAAAACAAAGCTTCATGTTTGTAATTGACAACACTAATATGACATCCTGAATTAAATATAAATATAGTTAGATATGCTCAGTAAGAGCTATGACTAAAGTCTCCATGGAGTCACAAACACACTAAGTTTATGATAGCTTTATAGTCATTCAGTAAAAACTTACATTTCAAAGTCTGACAAACTCTGATCTTCTGATGTTTGACTCAAATCTCCAGGTACCTGAAATGAAAAGAGTCTGTTTTACTGTATTGTATGCCTGAGATGAACGCAAAAAGTTGCTTTAATGGAAAGTAACAAATAGGAACTAACTATGGGCTGAAGCCCATGGTTCAGCCCATAGCTGAATAAGTATACTGTAGGTTTTCTAAATATTTTTTTACAAAAATATGCAAAAGAGATCAACTTATTGTAAATAAATGTATCCATGTATAGTAATGTTTAAAAATATCTTGTTTCTATACATAATTTTAGGGGCAGAAATATATGGTCATTACACATGCAGGTTCTCTTTTCTGTTTTGTTGTGCTTTGTGCTATAGTGCTTCTTCCAATTCAAGCCTATGAGTTAGTAGTCTATCCATTGAAAACAGTGCCCATCTCTAGCAGGCTGATACTGCAGCTCAAGAGTAAACCTATCATGAGAGACATGAGGGGCTGCCATTGGAGACCTTCTGAAAATGTAAATTGTCCGATTAGTAACAAAATGACTGAATTAAGATTGGGCTCAGTTTTGAAAGTAAACATACTGTGGGGTCACACAAAACAGAATGACCCCACAGATACACTGCCGGCACTATCTGGTGCCACAAAGTAGAGCTCTTGCTCACTACTCCTGACCACCTCTGCAAACTCTGTGAAAAAACAAAAGTTTTGGCTTTGGAACAAACATACATGTGCCATCCTCTATGCCGGAATTCAGAGCTTAGTACCTAAACAACCTATCTCCAGGCTTGAACATTTTTATCACGATGCTGTGCCAAGCCTTATCCAATTTACAATTTGTAGAAATATCTGTATATACATGGCATCTCTGTAGCAGCAGCCAAGTAGGGGCAGAGGCACACATGGTCCTTTGCAACACTGCAGGGAAACTGCTATACAGCTGCTGTTCACATAGCTTTGCATGATCTTGTGTCAGGCAGCCTGTGTAGTTCAGGCAGCCTGTATTGCTGGCTGCAGCCCTGACTGGCGTGGGTTAACTATCCTGTATCTTGCTGGCTGCAGCACTAGTCTAGCCAGCTGTGGCTTAATGAATCTAACCACACACCTCCAGCTTTGGGATTGGCCTTTTTGCTGCTGGTGCCCTATTTAGGCATTATCAGCCTGTTCCCAGGTGCTTGTGATAGTTCTTGCTATAGAAGCCATGCTCGGTCTCTGCAAATCCTGTCTCTGGAAATCTTGTTTGTCTTTGGTTCTGACCATGGCCTGTCCCTGGATTAGGCTTTGCCTTCTGCCGGCCCTGACCTCAGCTTGTGTCCGAATTACCCTTTGCCAGCCGCCTACCTTTACCTTAGCCTGTGCTATGATTACCCTCGTCAGCCACCAGCCTTTGACTTCAGCTCGTCCCTGGTTACTCTCTGGTTGTGTCTTTCTCCTTCTATCCGTACATCAGTTCAGCATCTGGGGCCAGCCTGTGGCATCATCCAATCAGAGCATTTAGTTTAAGTCCTGGGGGCATCCAAGTACCCAGTTTTGGTTTAAGACCTGGGGGCATCCAGTAGGCGTGCTTGCCTTATAGGAACAGAGGCTGCTATAGGTAAAACAACTTGTCACTATTTGCTCTGACGGCGTGCATCCACAGCTGGTCCTGACATTATCACAAGCCTTTAAAAAGAAGAGAACTGTACTACTACTGGATGTCGATGGATGCCGAAAATCTCATATGTTTGCAGAAGAATTATGCAAGCTGGCATGTCAAGTCCAGGATCTGTCTTTGTACATATCACAGCAACCCAGAGTTTCCTTTTCTTTTGACCTGCAAGATCCCAAACCCAAGGTCCATCTACCTGATCATTTTTCTGGGGACCATCACTAATTTTCCAATTTTGTCAATAGTTGCAAATGTTCTGATTAGTCCACTCTCTTCTGGCTCAGAGGTCCAGCATGTTAGCATTGTTATTTTTTTGTTACAAGGGGGATCTAGTCCTGGGCCTTTAGCTTGCCAGCTGATGACCCAGCTCTGTTCTGTCGATGCTCTTTTTTCTGCCCTCTGTCTTTTGTATGATGATTCTGACCACACCCACACAGCAGAGACCAACCTCAGATCCCTTCATCAAGGGAAATGCACAGCAGAACAGTACTGCTCTGAGTTCTGCCATTGGGCTCCTGATTCCTCATGGCTGGGTCATTCCATGCGGAGTCAGTTTAGATTGGACATAGCAGATTCCATAACAGACTCCATAGTGCATTATTCTGAGCCTAAGACTTTGGAAGAAGTAATGCACCTGGCCATTAGGGTTGATAGGCTTTTACGTGAAAGGCGTTCTGAGAATTCTACATCCATGCTTCCCAGTTCTTTCTCAGAGTCACCTCCTCAAGAGGTCTTTGTACCCTCTGCACCCTCTCAGGTTGAAGCTATGCAAATTGGAGCCAATCATCTATCACTCGAGGGGAAAACCAAATGAAGGACAATGGACCTCTGCCTATATGCTCAGGGGCACTTTGCTTCTAAATGCCCTAACAAACAGGGCTCCAGCTGCATAATCCACTCATAGATTGGACCTTGAAGAAGATCACATCCTGATGTATATATGTATGTATATAGGTGTGTGCATGTATATGGGTGTGCCTGTAGGAGTGGCATTGCTGGTGGAGGGAGCGGTGCCGCCCACCCCGAGTAATAATATTAATTGTTTCCCCCCCTATTGAATCTGCCACTGGCCCTGCCAGAGGCGCCCGGGGGACATGCCCCCCCTAGCTCCAGCACTGCCCCCAACCACCCCCGTGCCTCCCCTTCCCCCACATTGAGCCATTATTACCTGGCTTCTCCGCACTTTTTCTAGGTCCCGCAGCCTGCTCAGTCCGGGTACTGACGAGATGCCCCGCCTCCTGCAGAGCTCGCACTTTACTGGGAGCCGCGCATTGCTTGTGACAGCCGCTGCTTGAGTCAGTGAGAGGCAGCCCCCGGAGCCTCCGTGCTGCTTCAATGACGGCCCAGCCTGCACGGCATCAGAGGGCCCCGGGGACCACCAAAATTTTCGCGCGGACCACCAGCTGGCGACCGCTGGTCTATTCGACATCTCTTAAAATATATGAGCATTGTATTCAATGTTATGCTTAAATTCAAGCCAGAAGGCCCAGGTTTCGTAAACAATTGTCATGATCATTCCAGTATGTACAGTATAAGTTATTCTAGTAAACAAAGTCTGTCTAACGATTTAAACCATTCTGCAATAGAGGGAATATGAGGGGATTTCCAGTATTTGTGAATTAGAGATTTATCTGTATTCAACATAAAGGGTATCAAAGTTTTTTTTGTATGAACTGGGATAGTCCATTGTGAGATGAAAGAAGCAGGGCTAAGGGTTTATTGATAATGACAAACTAAAACCTCTGTTTTTAATGTTGTGAGACAGTGTAAACTTTTTTTGCAGGCTAGCTGGTATGTGTGCTGCAAAATGTTTGTGTTTGTACTGTGTAAAGCCATTCCATGTGCACCTTACTTTAAAAGCTAGTTATACATTGATGAGTGCAGTTAGCATTTGCTTCACCTTTGTAAATCTGGTAAGGCCAGTCCACCATGAAGAAGCAGAAGAGAAAGAGACCAAACATAAATCTTATGTTTAAATTCTGTAACAATGGGGATGAGATTTTTGTTGATATACTGTAGTTTCAGAGGAATAGCTGGATCGCCACCTCTAGGTATTCAATTTGTCATTGAATTTTAGGCTAAAGTTCATACCTAGGTGATTGAGTCGCGCGATATGCCGCAAAACACAGATTCGCATTGAAGTCAATAAAGGCTGTTCACACCTTTGCGGTTTGTCGTGCAGACCAAATTGCCTGTTGCGCAAAAAGGTGCAGGAGCTATTTTCGGATGGATGTCGTGTGGTTTGGGTCCCATAGACATCACTACGCATCACTAAGCATTGATAACCGTGTGGTTTTCAAAGAACAGTTGCGCAAAAAAAAAACGGCTCACCCGCCTAAGTGTGAACCTACCCTTAAGAGGGCAGTTCCAGGTCCAGCAGTGCATCCATGTGTTGTGATGCTAATGGATATTTCAGGACACCCACAGCGTCTGCTTGGCTATTGACAGAGAGCTGGTTTCTCACAATGGAAGGTGCCGTCTAAACAGACCAAACTGGTTTTGGACAATGGTATGGCTGCCCTGTATTGTTTCCCCATTATTCGTATCACAATGGGATGGTGTTATGGGGAAACCTTGTGTAAACATCAATAAAAAGAATCTTGCTGCACTCCTTACCGCAATAAACCCAAAGACTGGGTGGGTGCTTGTAGTGACCACGGTAGGCACCGTGTATAACACAGGAAATAATGTCACCAGCACACCATTGTTGTAAATCAATGATCCATTTTAATGGCACATTGCCATCCAATACAAGCGCTTTCGGGGCCGCACAGGGTCCCCTTCATCAGGCTCAGAATGACCAAGGTCATTCTGAGCCTGATGAAGGGGACCCTGTGCGGCCCCGAAAGCGCTTGTATTGGATGGCAATGTGCCATTAAAATGGATCATTGATTTACAACAATGGTGTGCTGGTGACATTATTTCCACTGGTTTTGGACAATGGTATGGCTGCCCTGTATTGTTTCCCCATTATTCGTATCACAATGGGATGGTGTTATGGGGAAACCTTGTGTAAACATCAATAAAAAGAATCTTGCTGCACTCCTTACCGCAATAAACCCAAAGACTGGGTGGGTGCTTGTAGTGACCACGGTAGGCACCGTGTATAACACAGGAAATAATGTCACCAGCACACCATTGTTGTAAATCAATGATCCATTTTAATGGCACATTGCCATCCAATACAAGCGCTTTCGGGGCCGCACAGGGTCCCCTTCATCAGGCTCAGAATGACCAAGGTCATTCTGAGCCTGATGAAGGGGACCCTGTGCAGGGACCAAGGTCATTCTGAGCCTGATGAACCTTGTGTAAACAATCGCACCTAGATTGGTCAAGCCTTGTTTAACCTTGACTACTGATGGCAATTATTGATGCTTTGCTGCCACCTAGAGGTGGGAAAGTGAAATACA